GGTCTTCTCGTAATACTCGTTCTCGGACTTCAATTCTCTATTCTCCTTCTCAATCTTGTAGATGTAGTCTTGTTTGTCAGCCATTCCACTGTTGACTTTGATGACCATCTCCTCCTCCAACTTGCTCTTTGCCAACATGACGATGTTGTATTCTTCTTGGAGTTTGGCAAACTTTGTTCTCAGGTTAAACAGTTCTTGTTCCATCTTCGTGTCATGTACAGGTGTTTCCTGTGCAATTCGGAGGTCACGCTTTAGCGACTCGACTTCAGCTCGAAGTGTGATCGCTTCTGAACGAAGCATCTGTAAAGCGGCATCTTTCTCCTTGATTTCTTCACGGTAAACTCTTGCTTGATTGTCGATTTGAATGGACACTTCACGCTCGTTCTTTGTTCTCGTGTCGATCATTTGCTGGCGGAGGCTGTCTCTCTCTTGGCAGATTGCTTCATATGATCGTTGTAGGGTGACAAACTCGGCACTGCTGCGGATAACGGAAGGGCTTATTACTGATGATTCCTTCCTAACGCGTTCCACCTCTATCTCACTTCGCTGCTTAGTGGTCGTCAGGTCCCTCTTCAATCCTTCAATTTCTGCCTTAAATGTCATGATTTCGGTGCGAAGTCTGTTGATTTCAATTTCCTTCTCTCTAATCTCTTCACGGTACATTGTGATTTGGTTTTCATGCTCTTGGTCTCCCTTCATCTTGATATCTATAACCTGGCCTCTCAGTGTATCTCGTTCTTTGCAAACCTCGTCGTATGTGCGCTGTAAGGAGACGAACTCCGCACTACCACGGATGTCCGGGAACCTTAATGTGTTGACTTCTTTCTTGAGGCGTTCAATTTCGATCAAATAGGCTTCCTGGTTGCGGAGGTCTCTCTTGAATCCGTCAATTTCAGCCTTGAATGCCATTCCTTCTGATCGAAGCCTGTTGATTTCCATTTCTTTCTCGCTGATCTCTTCGCGATAAATTTTCACTTGGCTTTCATGCTCTTGGTCTCCCTTCATCTTGATGTCAACCACTTGGCCTCTCAGTGCATCTCGTTCTTTGCAAACTTCTTCGTAAGTTCGGTGCAAGGAGATAAACTCTGCGCTGCCACGGATGTCTGGGAACCTTAATGTGTTGACTTCCTTCTTCAAGCGGTCTATTTCAATCAAATAGGCGTCTTGATTACCGAGATCTCTCTTTAATCTTTCAATTTCGGCCTTAAATGACATGCTTTCCACGCGAAGATTTTCCATTGCTACTTCCTTCTCTCTGATCTCTTCACGGTAGATTCTGACTTGGTTCTCATGCTCTTGGTCTCCCTTCATCTTAATGTCAACAACCTGGCCTCTCAATGCGTCTCGTTCTTTACAGACTTCTTCGTAGGTTCGCTTTAAGGAGATAAACTCTGCGCTACCACGGATGTCAGGGAATCTAAGTGTGGTAACTTCCTTCTTGAGGCGTTCAATTTCAATCAGATAGGCCTCCTGGTTGCCGAGATCTCTTTTAAATCCTTCAATTTCAACCTTGAATGCCATTCCTTCTGATCGAAGTCTGTTGATTTCTACTTCTTTCTCTCTGACCTCTTCACGGTAGATTCTGACTTGGCTTTCATGCTCTTGGTCTCCTTTCATCTTGATGTCAATAACTTGGCCTCTCAGTGCGTCTCGCTCTTTGCAAACTTCTTCGTAAGTTTGTTGCAAGGAGATAAACTCTGCGCTGGCACGGATGTCTGGGAATCTCAGTGTGTTAACCTCTTTCTTCAAACGTTCAATTTCAATCAGATAAGCCTCTTGGTTGCCGAGGTCTCTTTTGAATCCTTCAATTTCAGCCTTGAATGTCATGCCCTCTGATCGAAGTCTGTTGATTTCTTCTTCTTTCTCCCTGATTTCTTCACGGTAGATTCTCACTTGGTTTTCGTGCTCTTGATCTCCCTTCATCTTGATGTCAACAACTTGGCCTCTTAATGCATCTCGTTCTTTACAAACTTCTTCGTAAGTTCGCTGCAAGGAGATAAACTCTGCGCTACCACGGATGTCTGGGAATCTCAGTGCGTTAACTTCTTTCTTTAGGCGTTCAATTTCAATCAGATAAGCCTCCTGGTTGCCCAGTTGCCTCTTCAGACCATCTATTTCTGTCTGGTACTTCATGCTCTCGGACTGCAAGCGACTGATGATGGTTTCTTTCTCTCTTATCTCTGTGCGGTACGTTTCGGTGCGACTTTCTATCTGAACGATTAGGTCCCTTTCACTCTTGGATCTTAGCTCAGCAATCTGTCCACGAAGAGCATCTCTTTCTTTCCACATTTCTTCATACTGTTGCCTCAAGGAATCGTATTCTGATTTGCTGTAGAAAGTGCTTCGTTCCCTCTTCAATCCATCAACCTCTTCCATAAGAAGTTTGTTCTGGGACGAGAATCTTTCAATGGCCAGATCTTTCTCTTTGATCTCTTGTCGGAAACCATCAGTTTGGATTTGAATTTGAAAGGTTGTATCTTGTTCGCTCCTGGATTTGAAATCTGCAAACTGCCTCTGGATGTAATCACGTTCTCGGCAGACATCTTCGTAAGATCGCTTGACAGACTCGAACTCCACAATGCGTTTGTTTAATGCACTGATCTCGTTCTTCAGGCGGTCGATCTCCACCAAGTATCCATCTATCATATACTGCTTGCTGTCAGCTTCTCTCTTGAGTGTCTCAAACTCTGCTTGGGACTTCATGTTTTCAGAACGGAAGTTGCTAATGGCGACTTCTTTGTCCCTGATCTCCTCACGGTAGACTCTGATTTGGTTTTCCACTTGGATAGCAAGTTCGCGCTCGCTGTTAGATCTAAACTCAATCAGCTCAAGTCGAATGGCATCTCTCTCCTTCAACACGTCTTCGTACATTCGTCGCAGTGACTCGTATTCTGTGGTGGTGACCGTTGTTGACTTGAGTGTGATGATGTCGCCTTTGAGTCGCTCAATCTCGGATTGGAAGCCTTCGATCAAGTGTTGTTTGCTCTCAAAGTCTCGCTTGAGCACATCAAAGTTCATCTGGATTGACATGGCCTCGGAGCGAAGCTTGGCGATCTCCATTTCCTTTTCTCTGATCTCTTTCTGGAAGATAACAGTCTTGTTTTCCACTTGGATCAGAACATCGCGCTCAGATTTTGACTTGAAATCTATCAGCTCCTCTCGGAGGGCGTCCCTTTCCTTCCACATTTCATCGTATTGAAGCTTCAAAGACTCGTACTCTGTTCTCTTGTAGAAAGTTGCCATTTCTCTTCGTACTCCTTCCAACTCAGCCTTCAAAGTGGTATTTTCTGTACGCATCCTATCAATGGCAATTTCTTTCTCTCTGACGTCTTGTTTGTAGGCTTGATAATAGCTCTCGAGGTGAACTGAGATTTCGTTCTCGCTTTGTGTCTTGAACTCCATCAACTGGTTACGTACAAAGTCCCTCTCTTTGCACACTTCTTCGTAAGTCCTCTTCAGGGTGTCGTAGTCTGAACTGCTGGTCTTCAAGGTTACGATCTCTTGCCTGAGGCGTTCGATTTCCCCAAGGTAACCATCAGTGACAGAGGCCTTTCCGCCAATTTCTCTCTTCAATGTTTCAAGCTCGTTGCGGGTGATCAAGTTCTCTGAGCGCAACTTGTCAATTAAGGCTTCCCGCTCCCTTACTTCTTGTTGGAATCCTTCCATGCGGCTCTCAATGTGAACAGACACATCCCTTTCGCTTGTTGACCTGACTTCCAAAAGTTGTTCACGGAGGGCATCCCTGTCTTTCAATATTTCGTCGTACTTCAACTGTAAAGCTTCAAACTCGGTTCTGCTGTAGTAAGACCGCATGTCACGTTTCATTCCGTCTATTTCGGCGTGCAGAGTCATCGTTTCCGATCGCAGCTTGTCGATAACTGCATCCCTATCTTTGATCTCCGTACGATAGAATTCTTCATTGCTGTCCAACTGGACTGAACTGGTGTACACTCTCATTGTGTAGTCAGATCTTGTGCTGATATCAACCGCCTCCTTCTTCAGCGCCTCAATTTGAGCCTGTAGTGTGATGTTCTCGGAACGGAGCCTGTCTATGGCGATCTCCTTCTCCCTTATCTCTTGCCGATGGCTTTCAACATTCACGGACGAGCTGTGGGGTCTTGTCATCATCTCAGCAAGCTCCTTTCTCAAGGTTTCTTTCTCACTCCACAGGCTATCATAACGGCGTTGCAGTGAGTCGCACTCCTTCCCCTCAACTTGAGGAACAGATAATAGCGCTCTGGTTTTCCATGTCTCACTCTCGGACTGTAAGGTTAGACTTTCTTTACGCAATCGATGAATGGTCTCATCTTTATCACGAAGTTGTCTGCGGTAACCATCCGTTTGATTCTCCAACTCCACAGAGACGTCTGTTTGCCTCTTCGCGACCAACCGAGCGACTTCACGTTGTAATGAATCTCTCTCCTTGCAAACTTCATCAAATTTAAGCTTCAAGGACTCGTACTCTTTGTTTGAGGACTTTTCGGTCTTCGCTGCATCTTTCATTCTGGTGATCTCGGCAACGTACCCCTCCATGATGGATTGCTTGTCTGCTATGGAAGCTCGAAGTCTCTTGATATCGCCATCCTTGTCCGATATCTCCTGACGATATACGTTGACACTCGATTTCAGATCTTTGATTTCCTTCTGCAGGTATTCATTCTGCTTGTTGCTGTCCGCCAACGTTGTCTCCTTTTTGTTGAACATCAGAAGCTCCTCCTTAAGAGAAAGAACTTGCTGTTCAGAATCCTTAATGGATAATTCTGCCGTATTCAGCTTCTCCTTAGACGTCTTCAGTTGGTATTCCAAGTTAGAGATCTTCTTTTCAGCATTAACCACCTCATGTTGTAGTTCAGATTCTCTTTCCTGGCTCCGTTTGAGGGCAGTTTCCATTGAGGAGAATTGACTAAGGGAACTATTTTTATCACTGGATTTGCTTTCGTTTGCTTCGCCTTCATCTTGGCTGTCATCTCCCCGGCCTGAGATTTGCTTTCTCAAACTATCAAAAGCTTCCTCTATCTTACCTTTCTCCAGGTTCAGGCAGCTGAAGGTTTCCTCCAAGGAGTTGACCTGCCCATTCAAAGAGATGACTTCTTGTATGAGGTCTTCCTTGTCCATGGCTGATAAAACATCCTTAAAATAAACAAATAATAATTTAAGTCTCTTCATGTAGGCCATTGGTCGAGATTAATTTTTGTTCATGAGGTTTTCCTGCAATAATTCCAGTTTTCCGGCTCCTGAGACTTTTTTTTAAGACGATTATGTAATTCATTTTTATTTATAATTTGCCTACTTTTATGGTGTTATTACAATAAAGATCAAGAAACAAGAAATTAATGTCCACTTCAGCACTAAGGGTCAAATGTTTTCCAATATTTCTTTTCTTCCCTTGACAGCTTCATGGCGGAACATTCGAATGATTTGTTATTTAGGCGGTTTTGCTTTTTTCAGTTATAAATTCTAGTTGTTTTTTTTTTCTTATTTTTCTCAACTCTATATATGGAATGGGGAGAAGAAGACATGCTATAACTGTTTTATACACAAATTCGATCGCTGTTGTATATAATGTTCTTAAAATGTCTGTAGCCCAGATGCTAATAACATCTAATGAGTGATCCGTAGAGAGGATTGTGGCATTGCCTGATTATTAGCCTCATTTTGCACGTGGAAATACAGGAATTATTTTTTAATTTTTAAGGTACATATTTTTTGTAAAGTCATATTTCTCTGCTGGCATTCAAAAGGAACAATGTAGCTAGGAATATTGCAGAACAAACGCCTCGTGAAAACAGTCTCCTTTCAGGCATGATTGCTGATCACTACACTAGGCTTTGAAAGTTAAATTTTTATAATGTAGACAAACATAATAGTTAATAGCTAGTTCTTGTTGTTTTTATATTTACAATTTCTCGAAAATATTCATGAGCGTCCTAGCTACTCTAGATCTGTAAATTCGGGATAAAATAAACACTTGTCTGCTACGAAAATTTTCATCTGTGCATTGGCTGAAGTTTTATTTTCTCAGCTGAATTTGGAATCACCCTTTTCATGCCAGTTCACACTTCTGAAGGCAATTAAAGGACACAATGGAAAACTTCAAGTATTAGAAAATAATTTCAAGAATTTTTTCCATGGTTTATATTTCCATCTTGCTCATTACTAACGTTTTTAAAAGAAACGGCAACGCTGCTGCTCCATTGAAGTTAGGAATGTTTACTTTTTGCAAAGTTTACACCGTGTCTCATTTTTCCTGTTTTTTTTTTTATGCTTACACAATCAAGGCAAATCCCTTGAGATTTCACCGCTATGTTGGTGCGCTTAAGAGTTTTCAAAATTGTCATGGGCTTTACTGTGTTTTCTGTTTTTTTCGAAATTGTTAGTACACTTCACGTTGCTTTTTGCGCATACTCAATATGGCTTTTTGCTTCAAAGTTTAACTTTGAATTCATTTAAAACCTGAAGTCTTGCAAAAGGCCGATGCCGGTTATACGTTTCATTTTATTCTAATTTTCTTTGCTTCCTGAAATGTTTTCTGTTTAAAGATGCCAAAAAATCGTACACGTACGCGCAGCGTTGATTTTTAGCCAATAAAACAGTTATTGAGCTAAATGCAAGTATCCGTTAATTGTGCCTAATAGCTATAGATTGTGAGAAATCGAATTCAATGGCAATTATATATATAAAGGACGCTTATTAAACAGGTTTTCTTAAACTCGTTTCCAAAGTCTATAAAACGAATACACAGCATAATTGTGTACGTTGCTAGAATAAACTAGACCAAAAACCAAAAAGTCTAGCAAATTATATGACTACGGCTGGTTTCGTTTTAACGTGTTTACTTAAGGTTCAAGCATAATTTATGCCTCTACTTTATTATTATGCATACTATATCCTTTGAAGCATGACTTGGTCGTTAATTAACTTGAGCAGAAAAATGATTACTTTTCGTTATTAATAGATACGTTTTGCCTAAAACTCTTTTTTTTAATTCGGGTTGAAATTTGTCACTTTTATGCATCTGCTTTCTGATTGGACTAGTTTGTCTGACGCTTTTAGTTTTGGTCTTTTATTTCCTCGAGACCCAAAATTAACTAAGGAATTATGTCACTTTGGCAGCCGAGCGATGCGCTCGTTGTGCACTATGGCTAGCCACTTTCGTCGAGAATTTATACTGGTGTACTGCGACTAACTTAGACCAAAGTTGTATCAACCTAATTAAGCTTGGGCTAGCTGTTTGCTTGGTTCTTGACATTGAACTCCACCTACATCAAAATTCTATAATCGTTCCCACTTTTAACTTTTTACAAGGATACATGAATATCCAAAGCAAATAATGCCAATCCCTTCTTGCAGAAGCTAGAACGGAAAACGTTGAAAGAGCCATCCGTTTGACGTTGCAGTAACTACATAACTGATAATGTGAAAAATTAAAACAATTTTGCAATCAGGCAAAAGTTCCTGGAATTCCAAAAACAGAACCCTGAATTCTTTACAAATCCAAATACAGATATTTGCATTTAAAATACTCTTGCACAACTATCAAACTGGCGTATAAATTCTAGCTACATTTTGCAAACAAAGGATTACAGTACTTTAAGATTATCGGCTGAAAAATGTCACCAACAACTGTTGGAAAATTTAGAATTTGCAAATTTGCAGGATTCTTTAAAGTTGCGCAAGGTAAACAAGGCATTTACAAATATAAACACTAACGTGATTATCACGTAAATTGTACGAACTATTGTTTCTTTCTCAGAGTTGTTTTATAATTGTAGACCTACAGCATTCTCTTAGACAGCTTTCTATCATTAAAAGCAAAAATCAAGCAGTTGAAGAAAGCCGGACAACAACGATTACACTAACACCTAGGCTCAAGATTTAGATTGCACCACACCCTCAAAACTTAACAGTTTTTGATCGCTTGCTTCGACGTACAAACATCTGAATCAGACTTCCTCCAGGTGGAAGCAATTTAAGGCTCTCTAAATTCTTCCAGCTCTTTAGATTACAACAAACCTGAGATCTAAGAATCTGCTTCCGAAATGCAAGAGAATATAAAACAATGCATACCTCTCCCTTCTGATTTCTGGTTATATCTTCGAGGTCCTGTTGAAACTTCTCAAAAGCGATCTCAAAATTGACTCCGGTGACTTCTTGCAAGTCTGCCATCTTGACAATTTTTAACAGATGCAGTGATTAAGTAACAGTAGAACTCGCGTGCACTGAGCAGCAGAAGTCGGGTCAGGCGTCCTGTTCAGGCGCTAAGGAGGCGAGACCTAAATAATTTTAAAGGGACGCCAACTTAAATAGATCAATAAATTCTATTTCGAAATAATCTCTCTCGATAACTATTGGCTGACTCATCTTAAGTATAACAATATGTAGTCCCATTTGTGGATTCCCTTGAGTGTCTTATTGCTTAATGGCAGAACTTGGTCAGTTTAATCGTCGTTTTAGGGCCACACGAACTCTTGTGTGCCTACGAAAATTCGTTTTCGGTATTGTAAATGACTGCTTTGTTCGGTATGCGATAGATGTTGAGGTGAAGCGAGCTCTTAATTCGTGGTTTAAACATCGCGTCCTTCGTCACGTATAGTGCCTGTACGACACAATAAGTACTTTTGTATTGAAAAGCTTTGTTCTGACTTACGAACCAACTATTGTAAAAAAGACAATACAAAAAATGAGGGCGATGTGGTCCTGGGAATTGTAATGACCTTGTGTTGGCTTGGCTGGCGGCTTAACAAAGTGACCAGGAATTTAAAGAAACTTGCAGAATACTTTGAGTCTTTAAAGTCTTTTTAAGGCTCACAGAAATTGATATCATGAAGAACGTTGGAAGTATAATAAAACAAACTAAATCCCGTTTGTCTTTCCTTATTGTAATGTACTGTAAATTAGTATGCAAACAATTGCGATTTTCAGTTTGTAAACATGATATTAAGGCCGCTGTAACTCTTTAATGAACGTCGGTCATAAATATTACACTCCCAAAACCATTCGAGACATCTGCCTCAATTACATAACTACAGTGATGCTTTTTAATTGACTTGATATGTTTAATCAAACGTGGAACCTCTGCAATGGTGATGTTGTCTGTAGCCTCTGCAGAGTTCACAAACGTGTTTATCACTGAGCAAGGTTGCTTATATACAACCTTGTTAAAAAAACAAAATAGTACTTTCCAAGTTAATTAACTGAACGGGGGAGTAAAATAGTTTTAGAAAGAAAACAAAGGACTAGACCAGTCTAACGAAAATGCGTTTTCTGGAAATTGCAAAGCTACACTCAGTAAATCCGCGTTAAGCCTTTTCATCGCGGAAAAATGAACTGTTGACACGAATTTTGTCCTCGCGCAAGCAGATTGGAGGAAAGAGAAGAAAGATAGCATGAAATTAATTCAACACCCTGAGGACAGCTTGCCAAGAACATGTACATCCTTTGACTGCTATGTATAGTGATTTCACTATGGGAATTTCAAATGATGTAACATTCGTGCATCTTCTGTTGGAAAGAAACAAAGATTTGTGTGTCCAGTTTGCATTCTTCCTCGGTTGAAAGACTACGACGATTTTCAATTCATGTGACTTGGCTTGCAAGCTTTGCAGATGATTCAGGAAAGGAATGTATTGTTAAATTAGTACAGTGAAAAATAAATTGGCACTTTGTGAGAAGAGGAAATGAAATTGTGCGTTAAAGTTCAGGTGAATCAGAAATGAAATGTTATATTTGGTCGCTAACTCATTTGCATTTGGTCTCTGTTCCATTACGGCGCGGCCAAACAGATCGCACATGATGTAAGGGCTTAAGACGAAATCCGATAGAAAATCGAGCAATTTCAGGTTTTAGTGGACAAAAATCTGGTACCAGAATATATTAAGTATTTTACAGTCATTTTTACATTTTCTTAAAACTAAATACATAAATAATTCATAGACAAGTAAAAACAAACGATATAATCTCCCGACGTTTCGGCGACCTCATGACGCCATTATCAAGGGTACAAATGAGAATTAAATTAACAAATGCGAGTTCAAGAGTTATAACTAATTTACATAGCGGAGGTGGCTACACAAATACTTTAGCACGGATAGAATCCGTTTGCACATTCAAACTCAGTGTTAATTGTTTGATGTAAAGCATCTCGTTGACAAGACGATCGAATTTGTTCATGCATTTCTTGAGAACTTTGAAACAGCTGAGGAGGTCCTCAGGGACAGCACCTGCATGGTTGTTGTTTAGTGCTTGCATACTGAAGATGATGTGCTTTTATGGCCATCCACGCGGGCATATAAATACCCGC